AGCATTTATTTTTAGCATTACGTTGAATGGATTAATGCGAATTAAGTAACTTTTACATTGCTGCTATGGAGAAATATTTAGTGTCGGAGACATTTACGATTCAAACACAAATTGTATCGATATAATCAATTTAAATGGAAAATATTCCAAACCAGATGTTAATATCCAATTGCATTACAATATACCTCTCCGCTCAACGCATTTTGGGATCTTAGCGGGGAAGGGGTTTCTGCTGCCTCCGATATTTATGAGCAGAGTCAATTGACCTTAAAAAAATCCATTGTCTCTTTGCTTTTTATCTGTACATTTTATGTTTAGTAATTTCTTGTTTGTTGAAATTAAACAAGTAAGAAAGCTCTAGTCGAGACTGCTCGACTACGGGATCCCCTGAACCCTTGGAGCAATAGATATTTCAATAATTTTTCGCGTCTTTCAGCTTATACAAGAAACACGCACACACACACACACACACGCACGTACGCACACACAGGCATACATACACACACAGGCATACATACAAACACACGCATACAGACACACATACACACACACACGCATACATACACAAACGCATACACACACACATACACAAACACATACACACACAAGCAACCACGCATAAACACGCATGGGCTGCAGTGTGCGCTTACTATGAGAACTTAATTGTTTAATAACTTTTTTTATGGACGTACGATCTTCATGAAACTTTTAGATTATGATTATAACATGAATATGCATGTAATTGCCAAAGCACAAGTCTCTAGTATTTGAAATACGCTTTTTACAAAAGTGAGGGTGAGGGGGTGAATTTAGAGGTGGGGGGTAAATTTTAACAAAAAACCGAAATTGTATAAATTGCATATAAGCATACATTAAAAATTTGGAGACTTTAGCAATAAAGGTGTAGAAGATATAATTTTATAACTGGGTTTCGATAAGGTTTTTTATCGATAAAAAAAGATCGAGATGAGTTATCGATTTTTAATGATAAACTTGATATGCGCGCTGTAATTACGGACATTTTAAAAAAATTTGAAGTCTCTAGCTCTTATATCTTCTGAAATCGACGCGTTCATACATACGGACAGACGGACAGACGGACAGACGGACAGACAGACGGACAGGGCCAAATCAACTCAGCTCGTCACCCTGATCAAGAATATATATACTTTGTGGGGTCTGCCACGCCTCCTTCTCCCTGTTACATACATTTCAACAAAACCATTATACCCTGATTTCCCATTGAAAATGGGTTCAGGGTATAAAAAGAAGCAAAACAGGAATTGAGAATTTCACGGTTAGTCGACTTTATTTAATATGGACGATAACCCCCAGTGGGATCCCAATGCGTTTAACTGCGAGTTTCATGCTCTCGTCATGATGATTATCGCATGTTAAATATAAAACGCGTGCCATCTACCAGCTGCTCAATGAAATTCTTTAATTATATATATACATATTTATTTCCGTTCATATTAAATATGATCTGTGCTGAAAAAAGCGTCAATGGTTTAGCGATATTATTGTAAAACTTGAAATTGGATTCAGAATACAAGTACAATAATGTGTGTTGAGTCAATTGTTGAAAAACTATAATCTTAAGATAATTATAATAATATATCTATATCTATATCATCTATATCTTCTTTCTTTAAAGGAGTATGCCATCTCCAAAAAATGCGAATTTCTGTTCAAGCTCGACTATAGCCTCATTGAGCTGGACAATTCGAACGGGCTGTTGAGTCCGCGCTATCCTGGACGCATACTCATACCGGAATACGAGCATGGTCATATGGCCAAGACGCTGATACCGAACAACGGGCTTGGCGGTGGTGGAGGATCATCGGGCACAACGGCAACGGCGACGCCACTAAATGGCAGCGCAGGCAGCAATTGTAGCAACGGCAGCAGTATCGGCTACAACGCCTCCAATGCTGGTGTTGGTATTCAGGCTTTTGTCACATTTGCCAATCCGCTGCAGACACCGCAGCCGCATCCCCAACAGCAGTCGATACCGCAGGCGCCGCACCAACAGTCACAGCAGAACACAATCTACGAGGATCAGTATGATATACAGCGCATACGTGAGCTGGTGACCATGGCGAAGTATGCGCGCTGCAGGCAGCGTTTCGCAGTGCCCGTTATAATGTATCGGGGCAAGTATATCTGCCGTTCGGCCACATTGTCCGTGATGCCGGAAACGTACGGCCGTAAGGTTGTGGATTACGCCTACGATTGCCTCAGCGGCAACTATGCCGCGCCCAATGGCGAGGAGAACGAGACGGACACCACGGACGAGTCACTAATCAATCACATCAACGATCAGGCACAGTCACAGTTCAGCTACGATGAAGTCATCAAGAGCGACATCCAACTGCTGAACACACTGAACGTGTCCACCATAGTAGACCTCATGGTAGAGAATCGCAAAATCAAATACTTCATGGCGTAAGTCAACAAATACAAATAAAATAGGATTTCATTCAGAAAAAGCTCAGAATTGTTATTCAGTTCATAGAAACTGTTGCGGAACTTATTTAGTGAACGATAATGTTTAATCGGTTGATATTCGATATTCTGTAGCTCATGTTCCATTGAGTTGCTCAACTAATCATTCTTTTGAGCTATCGAACGACTCAATATCATGAATCGTGCTATCGAACTAGTGTATAAATCGACTGCGATCAAATTTGAATTATTAATTAATTAATTGACTTTTACAGCGTCTCTTCGTCGGAGAAGGCGGATCCGAATAAGCACTATAAGGGCTTTAACCTGCTATCGCTGCCGTATCCGGGCTGTGAGTTTTTCAAGAAGTTCCGGGACAACAATTACATGGCCAAGAATTTACACTACAACTGGAAGCAGTCATTTAACGATGCCAACATCAATATACCCAATACGGGACCCGCCGCCGACATTGACATTATTTGGCCAGAGTACAGGGACTGGGATCTGGTCTCCATTACGCAAAACTATCTGCGTGCCACGCTTAAGTATATACAAGAGGATAACTCAGGGCTGCTCATACACTGCATAAGTGGCTGGGATCGCACGCCCCTCTTCGTCTCCCTAGTGCGTCTATCGCTCTGGGCCGACGGCCTCATCCATCAGTCGCTGAACGCTTTGCAAATGGCGTACTTTACTCTCGCCTACGACTGGTATTTATTTGGCCACCAATTGCCAGATCGCCTCAAGCGAGGCGAGGACATCATGTTTTTTTGCTTTCACTTCCTCAAGTTCATTACCGACGAGGAGTTCAGCATTGTGGAGCACCGCAAGCGCACGAAGACGTCCAGCAGCAGCGGCAGCAGTGTCATTGTCATCAAATCCGACTGCTGCGACGATGAGCCGCTCAAGGAGTAAGTAATAGAGAGCGCTGACAAACAGCTCTCACATTATTTAAGTTATACTTCTTATTGACTTATAAATTTGTTTTCTTTCGGATTCCCGCAGAGATTACATTTTGGCCTTCGATCAAGACAGCAACGATAGCTACTCAAACTGTTCCAACTGTGATATGTCCATAACAGATAACTTCTACGCCACAACAACAACAGCCGCAGCAGCAGCTGTAGCAGCGACTGCACCAACAACGCTCGTTAATCCGCTCACCAGTCGATCCCCGAATCCGAAGCGGTAATAAATAAATATTCGGATTAATATCTTGCAAACACTATTTAACATAATTTATTCACTTGCTCACACAGCTCGCGCACTAGCCCAATTTCTGTGCCCGGCTCGAATGCGCGCCAGCGTCAGGAGTCGACGTCATCGAACGGCAGCTGGCAGGTGGTCACAGACACCGGGTCCATTGACTCCATGATGAATGGTAGTTACATGATGCGCTTTGTCTCGCAGCAGCATCAACCACAGCATCAGCAGACGGACAACATTCCAATGTGCAATGGCGGCAACGGATATCATTGCAGCACAGCCACGCCCAGCGCCTATCCCAGTGCCAGCGGCAGTAGCAATAGCAATAGCAACATGAGCAACATGAGCAACAATAGCAACAGCAACAGCAACAGTAGCAACAACACGCACGGTTTCGTTAATGGTTCCTCCAAGGATGCGGCCAGTGCCAGCGCAGCAGCCTCGAAGCAGAGCATTAATTTGTAAGTTCCATTCAATCCATTATAAAATTGAGATAGTAGAGAGAATGGCTAGAGAATGGTTCCTTCCAAGCTCTAAGTTTGTCACAAAATAGATAAGCTATAGGATTTATAAAAAAAACTAACTGTAGAGACTTAATCGTATATCCTCATATTTATTAAAATAAATAATTAATATATTCTTACAGACGCAAGCAACGGCTAAACGCTGTACGGGCGATTTTCATACAAGCCTATGGCAAAACGATTGGACTGAAATTCAAGGAAGGCTCCTCAATGAATCTGGCCACGTTTATTGGCAATTTGGCGGATCAGCTATTTTAGTTTGTTTGGCTGATAACTGGACTAAATCTGGAACTAGAAATGTAACTGCTACTGGAACTGATATGTGCACCCGTTGAAAGTATGCCACATGATCACATCCACATGGATCGATCGATCCGATGGACTGACTGCTGGGATTGTGGCTTTGTTGTTTGTTAGTTAGCCTTGTTAGTGCTGCGCTTTTTTACCATGGACTGTATTTTGTAGACATGTTGAATTACGTTCTTTGTGACTTGTTGATAATAAAATAGAAAACAAATTGCGAAAAAAAACTCACACACATAAAAAATAGTAGAGGAAATATGCAATGTACAAGTAGCCAAGTTCCTTGAGCGCAGCTCAGCGCCTGCACTCCAAATGCTATGGACAACAAATATATACATCTAAATATATATATCTTACAATCCTCTCCAGGCGCTGTAGATAGCCAGCTCAGCTGCATGCATGTCCCATTTGTTTCGACAAAATATTTGTTTATAAAGAAATTGAAATCAGTTAAAATAATAGTTCTAAGTTGTAATTTATAGTAATGTATTTTTTAAATAAACTTATTGTGCATTTGATATATAAAATTAAGCGTTATATTCTATCTACATATACATATATACAGATCGACGCTTCAATACTACTTGAAGCATTCTTATTGTGCAGCTGGATCTCATCTGACTGAGCGAGCGTCTTATGTGGCTAACTGACTTGTTGCCTTGTCTTTGAAGAACTTTTACTTATACATTTTAACTCTGCATTTCCGTAACTGTCGCCGGTTCGATTGTCGCACATAGTCGGCCAGATCTAAGCGTTTCACCCTCACTCGCACCTTTTTTACATAGAGCCTGACGCTGTCCAGTGGAACATAGCGCATCTGAAGCTGAGCGTGTGTGTCTCGTAGCTTTCTCTTTAATTCTTGCTGCTCTACTTGAAACAGATCTGGTGGTTCCTCTTTGATGATTAGCGGTTGTGTGAACAGTTGAATTGGTTTAGGCTTGGGATGTTCTGTTTGAGGCTTTGAGTGTTGTGGTTCTGGCTGCGGGTTCTTTGGTTCAGGTTGCTGGTGTTGGGATTCGGGCTTTTTGGTTACTGGTGCAGGCTGCATGGGCACTGGTTCAGGCTGCATGGGCACTGGCTCAGGCTGCATGGGCACTGGTTCAGGCTGCATGGGCACTGGCTCAGGCTGCATGGGCACTGGTTCAGGCTGCATGGGTAATGGTTCAGGCCGTGGCTTCTCTGTATTTGGCATGGAATGTACTTTAGTGAAGACCAGTTCACTCTCATGTGTATTAGCTTTGCTTGCCGTAGCCTTGGAGCTGTCTGGGTTAGTTCCCGTGCTGTTGTGGATGGAGCTCTTGCGGGAAATGGCATTTTTTGGCAGCTCCTTGACGCGTATTGCCTTAAAGAAGTGTTCGTACTCGCTCTGTGCCAGTTTCGTTTCTTTCGCGCCTAGGGAAATGCCCTCTGATCTCTCTTCGATAAATATGGCATTTAGAATCTCTACCTCCAACGGTCGTTGCAGAGAAAGCGGCAATTGTTCGATGAACGGTATCTGGTCAAGAATAAACGATTGGGTTGGAATATCTTCTCGGAATTTCATTTGCGGTGCAGCGTTCATCAATTGGTTGATTTCCCTCATAATACTACGAAGTTGGGTTGGCAATTGGCTGTGCTTGTCCTTGAACGAATGACACATGGGCCGCAAGATATCCCAGCGCCATCGGAGCTTCTCAATGCAAAATGGAGTGTTGAGATTCAAACCTTCATAGCTACAGTTGAAGGCATTTGTTATTTGCTCCCAGCCCCACTCTTCATAATCATTATCATTGTGGGGGTTCAGTGCGTTGCTAATTAGATATGGATGCATGTAGATCAGTTCCAAGAGCCGAAGGTCATTTAAAATTATTTCAGATTTGGCGTTTATATTTTCAGTGTTGATTTCCATTTCTGGTGCATCCTCGGAGTCATCATTATCCATTCTGTTCAATGTTTTCTCTATAATTAATATAAGCAAATGGAAGTAAAACTATCGATAACAATAATGTTCGTGTCGTTCGGACATATACCATCTCTAATAAATCATTACGGTGTTTATTGTAGCAACAAATCGTTACATTATTTGATATCAACAAGTTATGGTTGATCATTTTATATTGATTTTGATAGGTTTTTAACATTAATATAATTTAAAAATGCAGAAAGTATATGTGACAGATTTCTATTAAGTATACATCAAACACAAACACACTAGAACCATTAAATAAGGCATTAGTTTTTCATTTACTATCTTCTCAGTTCCGTAATTACGTTAATATTCTAAGTAAAGAACTTTTACAAATTTTCAAATTGCTTTTGTTTGCTAGTCAAAATTATTCACATATATCGATATATTTCTGCTTGTTCAATTGTTCGACACTTGTTCAAATGAACTAGCAGTTTATGAAACTGGTTCATCTGAAATTGACTGCTTACTGTTTACTCCTTAATTATTTATTAATTTTATGCCTTGTTATTAACAACTTTTTGAATTACTTAATTATTTATATTTATTTTAGAAGCCTGCTCAGTTTTGAATATCACATATATAATTTACTGGCTCATTTAGGGGGCTGTATTTTTGTTATTTTTAAGTTTTTGCGCTACCCAGCACTGTTTTTTAAGCATCTGCCGGTGATTTGAGGCAGCCGTGTACACAATATACACACATTTTGCAAATATTTCCATTGTGAAATAAGTGAAAAAATTGCTACTAAAACGCCGAGATGAGTGGCGGAACAATGTTGTACGGCGGCGATGAGATCGGTGCACTAGTTTTCGATCCTGGGCACCATTCGCTACGCGTTGGATACGCTCAAGAGGATTCGCCCAAAGCTGAAATCCCTTCTGTGGTTGGCATTGGCACCAGCGCTCCCGACACGAATCTAGATCCCGAGACAAAAACAGATAACAATGTTACGCCAAATAGTGAGTACAATCAATATACTCCATTAATATTTGTATTATTTATATTTCCCTCATATTTCGTACCCCTTCCATCGCTCACAATAGTCGCCGACGCGCGAAAGTTCTATGTAGACACAAACTACGTGAATGTTCCTCGGTCGCATATGGAGGTGCAAACATATATGAAGGATGGCATGATAGACAACTGGGAGCTGTTTGAGAAGGTCATTGACTATGCGTACGCAAACGTCATACAATCGGAGCCAGAGTATCATCCGGTGCTCTTCTCAGAGGCGTCATGGAATGTGCGAAATAACCGCGAAAAGCTAACCGAGCTCATGTTTGAGAAATACAACGTGCCAGCCTTCTTTTTGGTGAAGAATGCAGTGCTGGCCGCATTCTCTAGCGGACGTGCCACAGCTCTTGTGGTCGACAGCGGCGCTACACATACGTCGGCTGTGCCCGTGCACGAGGGTTATGTGCTCTCTCAGGCAGTGGTCAAATCGCCGCTTGGTGGCGACTTTCTTTCCAGGCAGTGCAGGCAGCATTTGGAGAAACTAAACATTGACTTGTCGCCCGTGTATAAAATAGCATCGAAGGATGTTGTCAAAGAGCGCGACAATGCACGCTTTACACTGCGAAAATTGCCCGAGAATCTCACACAATCGTGGCAGAACTATATGGTGCAGCTAATGATGCAGGATTTTCAAATGAATGTACTGCAGGTGCTGGAGAATCCGTTTGATGAGCGCGTCGCCTCCCAGATACCCATGGTTCATTACGAATTCCCCAACGGCTACCACCAAGACTTTGGCTCTGAGCGTTTCAAAATTGCCGAAAGCCTCTTCGACAATGCAATGCTAGGAGCGGGACAACTAGCTTCCACCAGTGTTGGCATGTGCGATGCGGATGTCCGCTTATCGCTGTTCGGCTCTGTTGTGGTGACAGGTAGATGAAAGGTGTTCCCAAAGCAGCCTGATCTAAATACTAATTACATTTTATGTCTTTCCATACAGGTGGCAATACACTGCTGCAAGGTTTCCCCGAACGGCTAAATAGAGATTTGCAATTACGGGCGCCGTCAAATACGCGTCTTAAAATGATTTCAGCGAACGGCAGTGTGGAACGAAGGTTTGGCGCCTGGATTGGTGGCTCCATACTGGCCAGCATTGGCACCTTCCAGCAGATGTGGATATCATCGCAGGAGTACGAAGAGGCTGGCAAGAGCCAAGTTGAGCGCAAATGCCCATAAGTCAAGCTCGGGGCCAAGCAAACGAATTCCAATTATAATTGTAAAGTTAGTAAACAGATGATCATTTTATATGTAAACTAGTGCGCACCCACAATGGGTTGCTTTGTCTACTGACCTATTAAGGTCCCATCAACAAGTCTATAAATGTATTTCTTTTTAATTTTATTTCACGAATTGTGGTTTGTCCCTTACCCCGAATAAATGACATGCCACTTTATAGAGATATGTTTAAATATATGATACTTGGCAATTTATGGAGATTCTACTTTATTTGGTTAAGCAGTTCGCTAGTTCGCTAGATACCGTTCGTTTATTAGTGTTCAGACAACTCCTTCAAGATATACTAAAAAATCACTGGTTAAAGATTAATATTAGTCACTAAATATATTCGTTGTGCGGAAATGTTGCAAGTTTAGGATTGAGCGTTCGGTGACGGAGTTTTGTTATGATTCTCTGGTTTTATGGTGAATTCTCTTCGTCGCTTGCCAGGCTCCAATTCATAAGCGATGGATATTGAGTGAACTTTTGGCTCGTGTTTCTTTGAATACTTTGAGAAAATGGGCTGGACAAGTGGTTTTCGGCGCCGAATGGTATCTTTGGTTATTTGGGTGCATAGCAATAAAAAGCGTCACATGGCGCCAGACATAGTGTTGTTGCAGACGCATTGCTATAAATGGAATCGAGTTGAATAGAGCAGATCATAAAATTGTGCAGCTGTACATACCTTGGCATTTAAAATGTCCTCGGACCAGTCTTCCTTGGCAATGCGGCCAACAGCATTCACTAGAATCTTCTTCACCTTTGCCACATTCTCGGCAAAGGTCTTGAGCACATCCTGCACGTTGACGCCTTCGCAACCCATGCGCCAGCAATCATAGTCGGTGGCAATGGCCACTGAGCCATATAACAGCCCTGCCTCCTTGGCCAGCACAACTTCCGGGCAAGTTGTCATATTGATCAGGTCTCCGCCCCACTGCCGGAACATGTTGCTCTCTGAGCGGGAGGAGAAGCGAGGGCCCTCTATTGTAACAATAGTAGCCTTATCATGTGCAGCATAATCCAGTTCCTTGGCCGCATCTAGTAGAACCTTGCGCGTGCGCTCACAGAAGGCTGGATACATGGGCAAATGACAGACGCCAGTCATGCCCTCATGCTGGCCATCATAAAAAGTCTGCATCCGCTTGGTGGTGCGATCAATGAAGTCATGTGGCACCACCAAATTGCCTGGCTGAATGGACTCTCTGAGGGAGCCACAAGCCGTCGACACAATCAGATGTGTGCAGCCCACCTGACGTAAGGCCCAGATGTTGGCACGATAGTTAACATTGGATGGCATAATATCATGCTTGCGACCATGGCGAGCCAGAAGGACGCACTGTACCCCTCCAATTTCGCCTTCGATCAGAGCATCAGATGGAGCACCGTATGGTGTTTCCACTACCCTTTCTTTACGCTGCTCCAAAATGTCTGGATCATCCAGACCAGAGCCACCAATGATGCCAATCTGTAAATGAAAATTATAATTAATAAAACACATTTGTATGTTCGTATACATTTTCAGCACAATGTGCTTATGTACAGATAAATAAATGGCCTCACCTTGACTGGAATCGGATCTAGATTGGTGTCTTTACATTTGATGTGTATCATTGTGATAGACGGATTAAAATGCTGTAGACCGGGTTAAAAATGTGATGAGGAACTAGTCGCCGTCTTCGCGCTGATAGCGTTGCTGCTGATAAGATGTCAAAAGTGTAGCGCATCTGAAAATGTCAGGCATACTAATTAGTAAGGTGTGGGAGTTAAGCTATCGAAGGCAACGGTTTCATGTGTACATGTAAATTTATCAGTGCTAAAATAAACATAATTATAATATAAATATAATAGACCATACTTTTATTAAATAATTGTTTGCTAAAAAATTACACATGGCAAAATTTGAAAGCTACGCTAATTATTTGCATTGTAGGGTGTTTTAATTCGTTGCAACTTAATCTCTCAAGCCTTTGCTGACAGCTTACACGAGAGAATCTTGTTTTTCAACACTGTTTTATGGCATCTTTCGGTCACACTTTATCGACAAATGTAAACAGCTGTCTGAGTTCATGCAAGCACATGTGCGGATGCACCGGTATTACGAATAAAACCAACGATGGGATTTGAAGTGGATTTGCCTGGAAACGATATAGATGATATAGAGGATTTAATATCGGCCGAAGATATAAAACCACGTGAACGCTATGAAAACAAAAAGACCGTTACAGTGCGCGCCAAGAAACGAGCACAAATCAAACCCACATTGTGCGATGGCGAAGCAGAGGCGACGCCACAGCCAGAGAAAACTATTTACGAAAGTGTTATTCCCGGCACCCAAAAAGTGTACGTGAAGACCTGGGGCTGTGCACATAACAACTCAGACTCGGAGTATATGGCTGGTCAGCTGGCGGCATATGGCTATAATTTGAGCAGCAAAGACGAGGCAGATCTGTGGCTACTAAACAGTTGCACCGTCAAGAATCCCTCCGAGGACACGTTTCGCAATGAAATCGAGTCGGGTATGCGCAATGGGAAGCACGTCGTCGTTGCTGGATGCGTACCACAAGGCGCCCCAAAGTCCGATTATTTACGCGGACTATCCATAATTGGCGTTCAGCAAATCGACCGAGTTGTCGAGGTGGTCGAAGAAACACTTAAGGGACACAGTGTGCGCCTTCTACAGAACAAGAAGGTTCAGGGTCGTCGAGTGGCCGGCGCCCCGTTGTCGTTGCCGAAAGTTCGAAAGAATCCACTAATCGAAATCATATCCATCAATAGCGGGTGCCTCAATCAGTGCACCTATTGCAAAACAAAGCACGCACGTGGCGATTTGGCTAGCTATCCGCCGGCTGAAATAGTCGAACGTGCGCGCCAATCCTTTGACGAGGGCTGTTGTGAAATCTGGCTGACTTCAGAGGACACTGGTGCTTACGGCCGTGATATTGGCAGCTCGTTACCGGAGCTGCTCTGGCAGCTTGTCGAGGTTATACCTGAGCACTGTATGCTACGCGTTGGTATGACGAATCCGCCCTACATTCTGGAACACCTCGAGGAGGTGGCCAAGGTGTTACAGCATCCACGAGTTTACGCTTTCCTTCACGTACCGGTGCAAGTAAGCGCGTATAATACAAATGATACGAAATCTTTATTAAATTACTCCTTTGTAGAGCGGCAGTGATTCGGTGCTGGGCGAAATGAAGCGAGAGTATTGCCGCAAAGACTTTGAGCACGTGGTGGATTTCTTGCGATCTCGTGTGCCAGGTCTAACGATCGCCACTGACATTATATGTGGCTTTCCCACAGAGACGGAGGAGGACTTTGAGGAGACAATGTCATTGTGCAAAAAATATCAATTTCCCAGTCTGTTTATCAATCAGTTCTTTCCCCGACCGGGCACGCCGGCAGCCAAAATGGAGCGCATACCAGCTAATCTGGTAAAAAAGCGTACTAAGCGGCTAACCGATCTGTTCTACAGCTACGAACCGTATGCGGGTCGCGAAGGCCAAGTGTATACAGTGCTGGTAACAGAAATATCACACGATAAGCTTCACTACGTGGGCCACAACAAGAGCTACGAGCAAGTGCTGCTCCCGATGCGGGACAACCTGCTGGGCACTCGAGTGCGTGTACGAATCACAGGAACAAGCAAGTTCAGCATGATGGCCGAGATACTGGACGAGGAGAGCGACTGGACACGTTGCGACTATAGCAAACCAGCGCAAGTTGCGACCAGTAGCAGCCAAAGCAGTCGAGGCCAGCACTACATAGGCATAGCTTTAATCGTAGCCGCCGTAGCATATGCGTTACAATTGCTTTACCGTTTGTTATCTCAATGAAATAAAATAGCAAAACAAGAATTCATGAATTGATAATTTAAGTAACGATTTGTTTAAGCCTAGTTGTGTATATTACTTAAGAAACTTTTGTTGGCCGTTAGTACTCGTCCGAGGGCTCGGTGCCAAAGTAGCGATCGCCAAAGTTGCCAATGCCCGGTATAACATAGAACTTGCTATTGATCTCGGGGTCCAGAGCGGAAGTAACTATTTTCACCTGCTCAACAAGGAATTATTAATAGAGTCGAAAAAATATATATTAGTGTAGTAGAATTACCTTGGGAAAGGCATAAGCGATCGAGTGTACACCAATTTCGGCCATCAGCAATGAGGCAAGAATAATATTTTCTTCGGGAACATCATGATCGAGTAGCACTCTGATGGCCATCATGGCGGCAGCGCCAGTCGCCACAGTAGCATCCATCAGTATCACTTTAAAGTCTTTTATATCTTTGGGCAGACGCAGATAGTAGAGCTCCGGTTCGCCCGTTTTCAGATTTGTCTGAATAAGAATCTTGCCAATGCGTATGTCCTTGCATACATCACAAACGGCCTGCTCCATTGTTTCACCAGCTCTCAATATGGATACACCACATATCTTACGAGACTCCATGCGTTTGCCCTCGTAAAGCACACCCTGCGGTGTCTCCACACAGGTTGACTTAAATGGAAACAAACTCAATGCATATTCGATGACCAGTCGTATGAGCCGCTTCGAATAGAAAATGAACTCATCCCGCGACGTATTCTTGCACCGTATGAATGTGTGCAGACCCTTAATCTGTGGCGTTGGATGCAATAAATGCAATGAATCTGGCATTGGCTGATCCTTATACGAATTGGCCAATGTTTCACGTAGCTTAAAACCGCGCTGCAAAACAAATTCGATGCATTTCAATAGTTGGTCAACCTCAGTCAGGCGCTTCTCTCTTACCAGTTGCAGCTGCGTGTGTACATGTTGCACTATGAGAGCTATTGCCACTGTGTTCTCGCCCCCACGTGGCACAATAATGTCCGCATGGGCCATTGTGGGCGCTATATAATTTGCATACGATGGCTTTACCATATTCAGATATTGTTTTAGCACACCCTTCAAGTCTCGTCCACGCTGCGAGATATCACTGAAAGTGTTTATCAAATTGTTATCAAATCAGATTACAATGTCAAATCGATTCGCTTACCGCTTAAGTCTTCTTGCAAGACGGATATCCGGGTCTGTGTCCACAAAGATCTTCATGTCGAGCAGTTTCAGCACCTCGGGGCTATGAAAGGTAAGTATACCCTCGAATATTATGACATTAGCGCCATACATGGTTTTCTAAAAGTGCAACAAATGGATATTATTCAATATAGATAGTACATTCAATGAATTGTCTATTATTTATTTTTACTCTACAAGACATAATATTATTGAGATATCGTACTTTAATAGCTGCCATAAATATAACATAAAAGAAAAGATAAGTATTCTTGTAATCTTTGCGATAATTATATTTATATATGTACTTGTGCCATATATTATATATCATATAATGATATTTAATATTATTTTGTAGCCGTTTTATATTACGCTAACTTTTTTGTATTTCTTAGTTATATATTTCCTATTTATATTTATTGGAAAATCGATCTATGCAATTTTCTTTACTGTTCGAAATGCGAAATCAAAGTGATTCACGTTGAAAGCTCTGAAGTTAAAATTAATATTATTTTTTAAAACTGTCTTAAAATGGAAAATTTAATCTTAATATCTATTAATTAAGAATTTATATTTCAAGTAAACGTTTTTTTTACATAGAGAAATTATGTATGTATAACTTACTTATCGAGTAGAAAGATGTATGTAAGTATTCGTAGTATTATTATATACACTTAATATTAAAACTATAATCAAATTACCGTCTGACTCTCTCGGCCATGCGTTACAAAATTGTAAACTGGAACTTCCACCTTTCTGCCCTCCTTCAGTTTGGTGAGAACATCGATAAGCAGATCAATGTCAAATGCATCTGGATGATCAAAGTTATATTCATTAATGAGCGCCAGCTCATGTTGCTTCTCATTAAGGATCTACAGATGAGGTAAGGAAGCTTTAACATGATCTGCACACTCTTCTGTCACATTCGTCCATTTTATATACCTTGTAGAAGCAATCCATGGACAATAAGGTCACCCAAGGCACATCGAGGCTTTCTATGATTTTTTCTGCCACGGTCGTTTTGCCGGATGCACTGCCTCCGCAAATGCCTGGAAATATATACAAAAACAAATTAATAACAAATCGTTTATAGGTATTGATTATGATTTACGCACCTATGACAAAGGGTTCGACCTGTTGGCCGGCACAATTGTACCATGGCGGACGTCCGGCCGTATAGATAGTGCGATTATTGGACCGTATTATTCCCTCGCATGGATTGGCAGTGGTTGTCTGATTACCAATCGACGTGGTTCGCTGACGACGTCCCGAACGTCGCATCGGCGACTCAAAGGCCGACTTTGCTGGCACAGTTGTGGGCGAGGCTGGGCAGCAGTTAAGTTCGCTGCCCATTGAAGTGGCATCAATAAAGATTGGCTCGGTAGCATCTGAGCGATCATCGCTGTAAGAGTACGTCAAATTTTAACAATTTGAATCATGAATCGGATGAATGCAATAATGATTGAACATCACACACATCTGCAGCACGTTTGAAGTGCCAATAAAAATATTATTTAGTAATAAAACATCCATCGACGATCCTACTACGACCTATTTATTTACCAGATTAGATTCAATTGGCACGCGACAAATCCTACTACAATATATATATATTTACCAGATTAGATTCAATTGGCACGCGACAAATGCGGCTCACGATTTTTAACAATAATTGTCCAAACACCTTTATCAACTGGGAAAATATCAGAGTAAAAATAAACCCGAACTTCTGGTGAACATTAGCTGGTTTATTTTTATAGAATCTAAACATTATTTTTACTCAGATAAGACCCATAGGTTAGCTGACCTCTGAAACTTTATTTAAGTTAAGTTTGCTTTAAATATGTGAGGAAACTTTGAGAGATTATAAATGCATTCCTTTTAAAATAATTACATTGTTGTACGATGTTGATAAGACTTCCTTTTTTCCGCTCTAATGTAGATGAGACATGCCCCAAGAACATATGCTGCTTTCATTAAACAGCTTTTTTGAATGGCAGATAGCTATGTAAAGTCTTTTTGACTCATGATACTGATCAAGTATATATAGTATATTATTAGTTTCTTTATGCATTACACATAATATGACAAATGTTCAGCTGGGGGCTAAGAGTATTAAAAACAATGCGCAAAATTTAGGTATCTTAATCTATGATAAGCAATGACTACATAGCTCTATCTGCCTATCTCTGTTCCGTTCTCCCTTTGCGTCACATGTATATGTTAAACAAGTCCAATCGTTAGGGTATTAAATGATATTTAAATAATTTTTAGTAATATAAATATTTTGTTCGCAGTTCTTGATATACTCGATGATAAACGAAAATCAAATGTACTATCAGTTTTCGTTAGCATATTTGGCTTGCCTTGTTTATTTATTTATTATCCAATTTTTAGAGTCTAGACAGTTCACAATAATAGAGAGACGTGCAGAGATCACAGAAATTCATTTCAGACCCACATTGCAGGCATTCCCGAAAACAAAGTAATAGAAATCTTGCGAGCCCCGAACAGAATCGACGAAAATACGCACATGCATGTTTACAATAGTCTTTATATATTTGTACGCATACATAAAAGATATATGTATGTATGTATATACATATGTACCTAAATGGTTCTCAATAATAAAACTGACAGTTTATGTAATTGATAATAAAGTTAATAATCAAAAGAAACAACAATGATGGAAGTAAAAATACAACATTGTGATTGCATATATGTATATGTAAGTGTGTCAGATAAGGCTACATGAGAAATCGGAATATTTAACATCCAATTCAAAAGATAACATTTATTCCTGTTATATGGGCATTTTTTCGATACCTAAAAGGTGAGCCAGTTCAGCCTGCCCAGGTAAATAAGTTTTAAAATATGTCGATGTAATACAGTCCTCCCTTGTCACCCCAAATTAACTAACCATTTCCAGTCTGGAAGTATGCAAATTGAGTGGACAAAAAAAAAACGGATTCTCAGACGAGCCTCAAATAACCCTTGCGCAAAATGTCCACATATACATATGTATGTATGTATGTACTATCCAGTCAGCTGCATTATATATGCATACATATGTACATATATGTATGTGCAGTAATTACGTCTTGTACAAGTACCGTTCATTGCACTCATTGTGGGAGCCGCAAATATTTCACAGTATTTATTCCTTAGACATATTCGCTATTTTCAGGCAATTGCTGTTGCGCCGCGCCGTTGCTGCTTCTGCTGCTACTATAGCAATTTTCCTAGTTATTTATAGTTGAACTACGCATGAACATACTTACATACATATAAACATATATATGATGTGTGCACTTTTGTGTGCTTGTATTAAGTGTAAGTATACATCCATACATACATATAGCATAAGCATCGATTAAGCTCAATACAATGCGTAAGGGATTCACTTCGCGTGTTGCGACCAACAGGTTGGTACGCCCCAAGGACACGAGAAGCACAGGTAGAGGCAGAGCGAGTGAGAGAGAAAGAGGGAGTAAGCGAAAATTCCTTGCCTACACATACTACATAATTAGAGCGAAAAGAAGATGGCACATTGTTAGGGAGCATGCATAGCGGCAGACGTGGCTTGATCGCAGCCATATTGAAACAAAACGAACAACAACAGAAGCAGCATTGACTGGCGTCGTGTTTTTTTTCTCTCTCTGTGATGCCAACCCGACAGCAGCTAATAAATGGTTGATTCAGCGACTCGATAAACGATATTGAAAAGAACGTTAATTAAAGACAGAAACAAATACTGGGAGTAACAACAAAACAATTAGAGCTTGTGTGTAACCACACATATACACATAAGCAAACAAGTGCATGGATATGTGAGTGTGTACGTATGTATGTGTGGTGAAAATAAAAATCCAATACGAATGATACAACAAACAATGATATGGACACATATGGACAGCCAAACACTTACACATACACACAAACGCATATTCATACATACATGAGTTTACTGTATGTTAATTAAATGTGAATAAAAATGCATATGATTTACATGTGACTATGACCGTTGCTTCTGACTGCAGCCTTAACCTTCTTTGACGGGTTGTGCAGCTGTAGATGTAGCTGTGATTGTGACTGTTGTTGTTGTTGCTGCTGCTGTTGCTGCTGTAGAGTTGCTGCGGCTGGTATTGATATTGGTGTTGGCGTTGGTGTTAGTAAGCCGGCTGATGCAAATACTGATGAAGGCGTTGCAGATTTTCCTTTTGCGGTCGCATCTTTATTGATATTATTACTGCTACTTTTGCTGCATAAAAACGTGATGCTGCTCATTTTAGCCAATGAGCCCAAACCAATCGAACGACGCGTATTCGTTCAGTATATCGGAACAAAGCAGCAAAATGGGTCAATCACTTGCGCACATACAAGCACTTGCAAATTCACAGACACGTCCGCAAACACACAACGCACTCCCACACTCACACACACGAATGTTTTCACAATGTGCTCAACGCGATTTAGTGGCGGCGTGATGCGATTTAGTGGCGACGCTACAGAGGTAGCGTGCTTTCGAACTGAATTGTTGTTGTTGTTATTATTATTGCAGCTGCTTGTTATTATTTTAAGTGTTAGATTAGCTTTTGCAGTGTATTGGTCTGGCACCGGTCAAAATGCAAGCAATGTGCTGCAGACGCGTTGGAGAATGACTAAAACGTGTGTGAAGAAATCGCAATCGGCCGTTGTCTATTTCAGCGACTGTCTATTCGCAGAGCTAAGGTTAGAAGCAACTGACGACGTCGTCGACGACGACGACACCAAAACGACAGCGACGACGACGAAGGTACAGCCGAAAGGTAGAGCAGTCACTTATTGCTGCTGCTGCTGCTGCTGCTTCGTTGCGTTATAACTGTGCTTGTGTTTGTTATTTGTATGAAATAAAAAAACGTTTTTTTAATTTCGGTGCTGCAGCAGCGTTGAGACTTTCTGACGTCGAATTTCAGTAGCGAATGAAAATTAATTTGATCATATGTACATATGTGAGCATGTATACAGCATAAATACATACATATGTATGTATATTTACATGTATGCTAGGTATATAACAGAGACACGATATATTATACGGTCATGTATAATAATATGTATAATTATTCAAACATGCATGCGTGTTGGTGTGTGTACCTGCATACATACATACATAGGTACGCGATTTGACAAATTTTAATTGCGTGCTCAAGTGTTAGGGCTTTTTGGTGATGAATGACTTTTGGGTGGATTTCACGTATCACTAATATCACCACATATTTTTGTTACCTGTCGGAACTTGCGGAACTTGTTGGATGGTAAAATTTGATTTGTTTTGTCTGTGTCACAGACATATTCCCCTAATGTTATGTGCTGCTGCAATTGCAATGTGCTCAGAACGTGAGGAACCACGCGGTGATTTCTTTATCGTCTCTCTCACTCTCTCTCTTTCTGTCTCACCCCATGAACTCGGTAACATGTAAACCTCACCAATGTGCGCAGTTGCGTTGTTATTGTCTTAACGCTAGTTGAATCTACTGTAACAATAAGCTGAATGTAATGTACAAAATTTAATAAAACATAAAACATATTTTATTCAAAGCATTTGAGCATCAGAGCAGATTATAATTTATTGTATAGGTATTTTCAGTATTTTTTGTTGCTCTTGATCAGCTGTTTTTGGTGGTGAACATGCAAATCGAGCAACGTTTACTTAACACTGATTATTTAAATCAGCTGTTGCTATGACTGGACAAATAGATGCCGTTGCTGCTGCCGATATACTTTTGGTATATGGCGATGTTTTACAGCACTACAATATTGCTGTACTGGAGATAAGAAGCCTAATATTTAAATTTTATATTGCTAATTGTTGCAGCTATATATTTAGTAAATTGAATTGAATAAAATGCATAGCGATAAACTCCTGTGACTATGTTCCTCACATTTCAGATATTCCATGACAAACTGTGACTTCAACATCTCGTGATAAGTAGCAGTTGCTTACAATACGCACATCTCTACTGCAGCCCAGCGGACGCAACAATATCAGATAACTTCGTGAATAGCCATCCCTGGCACTGGACAAAAACTCTTTTTTATTTTAATCAATTGTTTATGTTGTGTTGAAATTATGATGGAGTAGCTGTGCGAAATCGGCTAGTGCTTCTTTCAATTAGTATGGCCTATATAAATATAGCAGAATGGACGCCCGACCAAGTTACAGATTGGATCCGAGGTAAATCTATGGCTCACTTAACAGGTCAAGGAAAAGTGCAGCAGCAGCAACAGCAGCAGCACCAACAACAACAACAACAGCAAGAGCAACAACAGCCACATTCCTTTCACATCAAAATTGCAATTGAAATAATTTCATTAATGGATTTTTCTCTGTTACTTGTTGCATAGGTCTCGACGAGTCCATGGAAGCGTATTTATACGAATTTTCAAAACACGAAATCGGAGGTCGAGCACTGCTCAATATACGGCCATATGAATTGGAAAATTTGGGCATGAAGGCTATCGGTCGACAGGAAATCGTCCTTGAAGCCGTTGAGAATCTGCGTAACTTTGTAAGTTTGTTTAGTTCATTCCAGCGGCAATTAGAGGATATTTCATTGGAATAGTTTATATGGAGTGAAGAATATTATGATGCAAAATCTGAAGAAAGTTGATGCATTAGTGTTAATTAAACGGAACCTAGGTCACGGTTTAAAAAATCCAACAATTGTCGCTGGACTTGTGTCCTTGATTAGATTTCCAGAAATACTAAATGAGTTTCCTCTTATTCAGCATTATCACTTGAAGAATGATAATCTACAGTTTATGGCATTGCATGTGGGCACTGCGGCCCGCAATTTACATCGGGAATTGGCCAAAAATCATGCGGATAGCACAAACATCGACACGCGCACACTGCATGATATAACGCGTACTATAGCGACTCTGAAGCCGCTGATTGGGAATTTGGAGCGATCGCCGTTTCGCAATCAGGACATGTATCGGGAGTACTGTGGCAATGTGTTGCGCTGTGGCTTGGAGTTAGCCACGATAGCGCACAGGGATCGGTTCGCGGAGCGTCCAGTTGCTCAGATCAAAGCGACCGCAGAGCGTTTGGAACGTCTGGCTAACTTCATAATCCAGGATATTTCGGATCCGATGGTGCTGCAGCCGGCGTCTCTCAATCTGGTGACACTGAAGAAACGTGAATCGGATCTGGGCTTTAACATTGAGTCGAGCTACAATGGCATTCACCGCGTCACAGATATCAAATACAATTCACCCGCCCACAACTCGGGCAAGATCGAGGATGGCGACGAAATCGTCCAAATCAACTACCAGACAGTCGTCGGTTGGCAGCATAAGACTGTGCTGCATCATCTGTGCGAGGCGCTGCCCGATGTGGTGCTCACTGTGAAGAAACGGCCAAAGCACACCAAGATGTATGGTCAGATTTATATGCAGCCATATCGGCTGCCCAGCAAGAAACGCAACATGGCCAGCCGATGGGCCGACAATTTGCCCAGTCCGAGTCCACGCGCCGCATTCTTAACCCTTGAGTCAGCTCACAAGACGCCACGAAGTGATGACGGCCAGGGCGTCAAGGTGAAGGAACTTGTGAAGGAGCAGGTGCAGGCGCATGCTGCTTCCGACTCGGATTCCAGTTGCAGTGATATACCCACACCCACGGATCCAAAGTCTGCCAGTCGCGAGATGCGTTTGTACTATCCCAAGCCACGGGCGCTACTGCAGCGACGCAACACAATTTGTGGTGACGAATTCCTTAGCCTGAAGCATCCACATTTGGTGATACCCTCATGGCATGAACGCAAGCCAGGTAGCGGCGGCGGTGGCGGTGGTGCTATCTGTGATCCTGGCTCGCCCAGCATTCGAGACAAGTCCATCTCCTTCGGCTATGGCCTCGAGATAGCGCCCCGGCCCACCACTTGCATAGGTCTGGCAGCCAGCGAGAGCGCCGACACGGACAAGCGTCTGTTCAACGAGGCGCGCAAATTGAAGCAGCTGACCGAGGCGGGCCTGGCGTCCCAGCAGCAGCTGCAAATGCTGGACCGCTACAAGCCCGGTGTCAGCAAAGTGGTGCGCTTCGATGCCAACATGAAGGTGGAGGATTATGTGGTTAAGAACGAGAAGTTTACGTGCAATGTGGAAAATACAATACTGGAAACCTTTGAGCCAATACCCTTCGCCGACGAAGGTGACGAGGATGCGTTAGAGACGCTGCGTAGCTGTGCCAACGAAACCAGCGCAGAGCTAATCCAAGCCATGGAATTGGCCACGCGCGAAACGCCGCCGCTGGCGGAGGCCATCAACACACCGCTCATCCAACAGCAGCAGCAGCAGCAGAATCGACGTGGCCGCCTGGACAAAAGCCATAGTACACCGGCCTATGACAATTCGGGCGAGGAGGAGTCCGATACACCGCCGCCGGCTATTGAGCCACGCAAAGAGTTTTTACAAGTAACGCCGCCAGCGCCGCCGCCACGTCCGCGCAAGCCACACGAGCTCACACCCGTTGTGCCACCACCGCCACCAAAGCCGGCGAGCATGCAGCAAGCAAGCACTGCAACTGCAAGCACTGCAATCATGGCAACCACTGCAAGCACCGCAACCACTGCAGCGGCTGCAGCAATGGCAGCAGCCACAACGGCTGCCACAATAGCAACCACAATAACCACTGCTAAGGAGCAAGAGATCAGTGAGCTGCTGACGCCGAGCAAGACGCGTACCTTGACGCTGAAGAAAAAGCACAGCCTGATGGCCAAGCGGCGCAACACGAACCTCAAGCTCCTGGGCACTGGCGACATCCAGGGTCATCTGTACAGGCGTACGAAAAACTTGCGCGGCGTCACCTACTGGGCGCGCATCTACTTTGTCATGCTGGATACCATTCTGTATGGGTTTCGAAGCAAGCAGAGCTCCAGCGCCAGCTTGGTGATTTTCCTGCCCGGCTTCACAGTGTCGCTGGCCAAGGAGGTGCACTCGAAGCCGCACGCCTTCAAGGTGTATCACACGGCCAAGAGCTTTTACTTTGCCGCCGAATCGCAGGACGCGCTCAATCAGTGGGTGGAGTTTCTGCGCCTCGCCTCGCTCAAGCTGCCAGCGATCAGCAACGAGACGTGCAGCAGCAAGGATCTGTACTCGGAGAATGAGAGCTCTGGGGAGGAGGAGAGCGATGCGCTAATAAGCACAAATCTATGCACACCGTCGCCGCAGGCGTCTAAAGATGTGGTCGCCACACTGGCAGCAAGCGGCAGTGCCACGCCCACCAGCAGCCTGAGCAGCAACAATAGCATGAAGCATGATCGCGGCTACTTCGACTCGCTGCGCAAATTCACAATGGGCACATTTAAGAGCAACGCGGCCAAGAATAACTCGAGTGATATACCCGTGCCAACGGCGAACTTTCAAACGTTTCGCAAGGTGCCCGGCGGCAGTTGCGGCATTCAGATCGGCGCTAATACTCCCGGCTATCATGATCCGGCACAGCCGCCCACGCCCACAGCCAAGCCGGAGCTGCCACCGACAGCATCGTTGCCGCGCAAACTGTCGCGCAGCTCCAGTCGCAGCTCGGTAGTGAGCGCTGCTTCGGCGAGTCTGGGTCCGCCCAATTCGCCAGCGCCCACGGTCAACTCACTGCAGCAGCAGCAAAGCTACGACGACAGCAACAGCCCCAGTCCCAGCCAGAGCCAGAGTCCCAGCCAGAGTCAGAGTCCGAGCAGCAAGTCGAGTCTGAAGAAGGTGCCGTACCATTATCTGCACGCCTCGAATCCGAATTTGGAGGTCTTTGAGTATCATCACTCGCATACGAAAACGTTCATGACGAAAAAGGTGGGCGGAGATGGCACCTTGGATCCGCACCATCAGACGAACAACATACAGGGCTATATGACGCTGAAGGATTTGATGCTGCGTAAGCAGCTCGAGGAATCACAGGAAATGTACAATAATCGTGTGCATCTCGGTGTCGAGAAGCACAACCGGCACTTGCGCACCGACTCCAATGCGAGCCAGCAAACGGCAGCGGGAGCAAGTGCTCCGCCAGCAACGGCTGCGAAGCCAGTGGTCAACGGGAGTGGCGAGAAGCCGGCAAAGATACAAAGCTTGAGTTTGCCCAAGACGCCGGACTATGAGTTTAGCTTTAAGCCGGAAGACGAGAGTATTAAGCGCACGCGCACCAAGGAGGGCCAGAAACTGCGTGACTTTGGCTACGAGCTCATCTTTGGTGATGAGCCGGCAACGAGCAGCAGCAGCAGCAACAATAACAACAACAGCAGCAGCGCCAGTGTCTCCAGGCAAACCAGCTGCACTGAGCACGAGAGACAGCTGATGCTGCAACAACAGCAAGAGAAACAGCAGCAGCAGCAGCCACAAAGCACACGGTCGAAGTATTTTCTACGCTCGCAGCAGCTGTCCAGTTTTCTGC